TCTGCCCTGAAGGCCCCAGGCAATGCTGGGCAAGTCTGCTAGTGTCTGATGAAGCTTCCACGCCACAGCTATACATGCGTGTATGCAGGGGGCGGGGTCTGATCCGGCAACGGTTCGGTGGGTTGGTAATGGGCTAGCGCACCTTCCCCTTGCAGGGTCACCTCAAGGGCCCGTGGGGGGGTGACTTCAAGCTGGTCCCATCTGGTTGAAATGCCCAGCAGGCTCATGACGAGGACGCCTGGTTCACCCACTGGCCCGCCCAGCAGAGAGGCCAAGGACCGACTGGCTGCATTGATTAACTGACGGTTGCCCCCCCCAGAAGTGGGTGCTGTGGCTAAGGCTTGAAGCCCGGAGGTGGAATAGCCTGGAGGAAGCTTGCACTCCCCAGCCTGGGTAGGACCCTGGTGTGTGTGTGAACAGGAGACCTCCCTGCCTGGGGACGGGAGACGAGCCCCTGTGCAAAGTATGGAAATCACACTGCAGTGTATAACGGCGGACTCCATGGTGGGGCAAGGCACGGAGGAAAGGGGCAGGCCTTGTTAATAACGTCCTTCAACCAACCCAAATCACCCCCGTTGACCGGCTTTAGTTCCCAGCCAGTTAATGGGGCTGAGACGACTTCTGCCTGGTTTCTATCAGACTTCATTCCTAAAACATCACCGAGAGCAATTTCCATGTGCCGGGGAGGGGGGGTGTCCCTTCACAAGAGACTTCTAATGAATTAAGGAGGGAGAACAAAGGAGCCTGTTTACTACGGCTGAGCTCTGCACTCTGCCTACGTAGGAAGCTGGCTGTCTTGGCAAGGTGTTGAAAGGAACATAGTGTAATTACTGCCAGTGGATGTTCCATGGGTTGGTTGAAAGCACTGCAGTGTCCTGCTGCGCTAACTGAACGGCATAAAAAAGCATTTGGCCCGCCGAGTATTGTTGACTGACTGGCCTGGTGGGAAAGGGGAGAATGGGACCAGCGCCCAGGATGCAGCATGTAGCTAAGATATTCAAGCTCCTTGCAGCTAAATGAGCAATACTTATCAAGGGCCCAGCAAAGACAATGCCGATCAGTGCTCCCTGTAAGCTGCGTGCTTGGGCGGAGGAGAGATTCAAATGCTGCCCAGCTGACTAGCAGAGTGTCCATAGCCGGCAGCATGTGTTTCTACTGGTGGTGCACATCCACACATGCCTCGGTGCACATAACAAAATTTATTCTGCACACAAATGGGGAAAAAAAAGTTAGAGGGAACATTAGTTCCCCGGGGGAAAATGGTGACCTCTTCTCTAATGCTTTCAATGTGCCAGCCACACCTGCGTGATCTCCAGTGTCGATAGTGTAGTGTAGTTAGAGCTGCCAGGGACAAAGCAAGGGCAAGCTGTGAACTTTGTGTGGGTGAGAGAGATTTTTTTAATAAAGATGCCGCCTGCTCCAGGATGGTGGCTAATGTGGCTCCGTGCTTGGTGCTGAAGGAGCCAGGCCAGACGTAGCGAACAGACGCTATCCAGAGGGGCTGGTTGCTAGCCACAAAAAGGTCTTGTCCCTGCCGTCTGCACCAACCCCGCTCAGCTGCCTGCTTCATCACAGTGACCAGACAGCAGCCGTGTGCGAGGCCTGGCTGCTAGAGGGGCCAGCTTGCAAAAGAGTAGCTGGATTGGCAAACACAAGCTACTCCTAACAACAGGCCACTTGTAGCTCTCTAGACACAGCCCTGGGAATGGCTAAGGGGCTCCGAGAGCCAGGCCCCTGAGGGACTCTGCCTGTGAAACTGCACAAGAGAGCCCAGCGATTGTGAGGCACAAGGCTTGCCGCCCGGAGTGGCCAAGATCAGCAAAAACCCCAGGCAACATAGCCAGGCAGGCAGCAGCGCACTGCTAAACAGAGGCAAGTAATCCCACCCAGCCCCATCAGCTAAGCCTGGCACACGGGTGAGGGGTACCGGCTCTGCCCTCTGAAGGGCATGGGCTAAGGCAGCGGGCGCTTTTGCAAGACCTAGGTTTGCTTAGAGCCGTGGTTCTCCTTCAGCTGATGCCAGCTCCAACCCTGGTGAAGCTGGTGGTGGATACCTGGCTACTCCTCACTCAATGCAGACCTTTCCGCAGACCAGCCACGCTGACAAAATAGATGCAGGCGGGAGTAGGGGGTGCAGGGTGTGGCTGGGAGGCAGGGTGCTAGAGCGGGCTAAGGGTGCAGGGTCTTGGTGGTAGGGGGATGAGGAGCACATACCTGACACCACGCCCCCTCCCACTCCCAGGCACCCTCCCCCTGCTCCCATTTGCCATGATTCCAGCCAATGGGAACAGCGGGGAAAGCCTCCAAGCGAGCCATTTCCTCTTCCAGCCTGTGAGACTCCCTCCACCCCCCCGCAATGGGAAGCCGGTGTGCCATCCTTGCGGGTTGTGGGGGCTGGCGCACGAGTGCAGCCTCCCTGCTGCGGGAGGGGGGCAAGCCACAAGCCCGCAGCCCACCTGCAAGAAGGCCCACACTTTGAGCACCACTAGCTTACGGGACATGCAGTGCCCCAGCCACTGAGGGCAGCACACCTGAGCCACGTTTGCAACCACTGCAGGGTTTGAGAGGGAGTGGGTGTTTCACCACTGGACCGAAAGCAACGTGGATCCACCCCTTTGCTGCTCTGAGCTCAGCCTAATGAGGGGTGACCGACACCCCCTTTAGAATGCAGCAGGGAAGAATTGAGCGCCCTGGTTTCCTGTGATTATGGGCTTCCAAACAGAAAAGCAGCCCTCATAAAAGGGGAATGAGCCATTGCACCATTTAAATAACTGGCTACGGGTCAAGTACATCATAATCTGGGCAAGGAGATTAATAACGGATTTATGCCGGGCGCGTGATTCATCCAGCCGCCTTCCTAAGGGAGCCGGTTACATTTACAGCCTGGCCTGTTAGTGGAAATAATACATGGAAACACACCTCATCGCCGTGAGCCCCGCTGGGTGACTGAGCGGCCCAGCCTGCCCGCCAAGCTTGTCTGCTCCATTCCAGCTTTCCACATGGACCCCGTCCTCCCTTTTCCTTTTAAATTCGTGCAGCAAACCCTTGCTTTGAAAGCCAAACGGCAGCTGCCCGTCCATGGAAAGATGAATTGTTTATGGAAGGAAAAGGCCTTGCTCCTGGTTTTGGAGGGGGTGAAAAAGAACCTGGCTTTGGCCGATGGCGAAGGAGCAGGGCTGACGGCTGTGCAGATGGAGTCTCTGTGGGTGTGAGTTTCCCCCCACCTGGAAACTCTGGGGCACATCTGACCTCCCAGGTGCTGCCTCTGTGGAAAGGTGTGAGCCCGGCAAAACCGCATGCTCGCTATTCCGAATGGGAGGAGGCGGGCGTTCTGCAACCCCTGCACTTGGCAGAGCTGTGCTTTATTTGGGGGGAGCCCAGCCCCCATCCCTGGGCCATCGGGTAGGCTGATCTTCCTTGGCACCGACCCTCACACGCGCAAGCAGATACTATGCAGCCTGGACGGTGAGTGGGAGCAGTACGACTAGTCAATGAACTAAGGGTGGGCGCTGGCTGCCTGGACGCTGGCAGAGCTGCCTCGAGGATGGCCGGCTCCTTGCTTAGAACGCTTCTGTTTGGCCGGAGAGATTAGCGGGTCAGGTGGCCCTGACGGGTCCCACCTTTGCCAGGACAGGCCCCAGAACTGGGCAACAAGGAGGATGCCAATAGGGAAGAACAGCAAGTTTATAAATCCAGTAGGGCCCAGTGAGGGAAGAGCTGGAAAGCAGGACATTTTTCTACATGGGTGGCGGGGGTCACGTCTCGTCTCTGAGCCTCGGCTCCTTCACCTGTAAAAAGGAGGCTACTGCTGCCTCCTGCCTAGGGGTGTGGCAAGAGTCACTATGTAGGGGAGGGGAAATCACACACCCTTCATGGATGGGGGGCACAGTTACCTCATGGAGCTACCTGCCTCTGGATCCCAGGGTTCCAGGTGCTGAAGGGCAGGACAGAGGGGGCTGCCTGTTCACCCTCCCCATGGAGTTTACAGCCCCTTTCCTGGGAAGGGGCTCCCAGCGGCTGTCCCCAGTAGGGCAGTATTTGGCTGAGGAAGGGAGCAGCTGGTGGTGCTAGGGCCATGCAGCTCTTGCTTCCCCCTGGGAGCTGCAGAGTTTGGGGTTATGCCCTGTAGACTTTTTTTCCGGCAGGAGACAGAGCCCCCTCCCCCATGCATGGACAGGGAGGAGCTATGCGAGCAGCACTGCATGCCGGTTTCTCCTCCCAAGTCCTCTCCAATGCGTTTGGCTGCAGAACAGGGACCTCCTGATTGTTATAATGAACTACCTGGTGCTTGCTGTGTGGAAGGTGAAGCAATACACGACTTTCGCACTCCAGCTGAGTCACTTGGCTAGACTGTGTCTCCCCTAAGCCCATGCACCTTTGTGGATACCTATCAGCATCCTCCAACGGAGGCAATGGGAGTTTAACCCAGGAGCTCCCAAGGTTGTGCATGGCTCAGGAGTCGGACCACCAAAAAGCCTCCTCTTTATCTGTTTCAAAAACTCATGACATGTAAGGCAGGCTGATGGGTTTGGAAAACCTGGCTCCTGACAATGGCTGCAGAAGACAGGGTTCATAGGAAAGCCGGCTGGCTGCTGGACTCGGATTAACAGAACCAGAACTTCCTGGGTTCTCATCATGCCTGGTAGAACTATTCACTTGTCTCTCTTTGGAGCAGAGGAAATTGATCTGGGCCTCATTTTCCCCATTTGCAGCTGGGGTTACTGCTAACTTTCCACACTGCCATTTATAAGCATTGAATCGCAGCTCCTCAAAGGTAGTTAGAGACCTAAATAATGAAATCAATGGGGGCTAGGCCTCTTAATACCTTAATCTGGGCCTACATTGCAACTGCAGGAACTCCTATACAAATGTTACAAAACCAAACAGTCGTTTTCTTTGTTCTTTTGGAGCCATGATACTGGCCTTAGTGGGGAAAAAATTAAGAAACCAGATGTCACCTCCCCGACCCTCCCCCCTCAAAAAAAGACAACACACCCCAGTGTTACAAAACCTTGTATTAATCATCTCCCATCACTTTCAATATAATGTTGATATGAAATATAGCCATGATTCCTAGTTACATGGGAGGAAATGAGTAATAAATACATTGTAGCAAGTTTAAATCACAAGGGTGTTTCACTGGTAACAACATTTGAAAACTGTACACTTGCAAAGAACAGCATCTTCAAACATTAGTATTTCTTTATATCAGGAAGCTTTTACATGTAACAAACATGCTATTTCCATATATGACAAATTTAAAAAATATGCATTGCTTGGCAACATTAACTAGGCAAAAATATTTCTTTGTGCACTAACTTTATACAGAAAAAACAGGACTAACTGCATGCATGTACAATAAGGAGCTGCCAGAAGATGGCATGCAACAAAAGAAAGTTCAAAGCTTTTTAAAGTAAGCTTACATTTTGCATAAATACATAAGGGTTATATATTAATAAGGGAGGAAGTATTCTGTTTAACATTATTAACATTCCTGTTTTCTTCCTATTCCTCCCAGAGGAATACACATTCACCTTTAAGTAAAGATAAAGGAATACAAAAAATAAAACTCACTTTGCAAACTCTGATGACTTGTATAAAATCAACTTTAGTGTTATCATAACCGTGTGCAAATTATACTTCTGCAGGATCTACTTTTCATCAGGCACATTCAGAAAGCCAAAAAATGGGTCATGTTTTTGCACCCCATGATAGAGAAAGGTGACAATAGAACTATTCTTAAGTGCTGACTAAAATCGGAGCTCTGGGACACAGTACTAATTTCTAATGTGTATGGAACAGGGGTCTGCGTGATACTTGTTCTGCATTGTGCACGGAACTACTGTTCGTTCAGGTAGCAGAAAGCCTGTTGGTCACTGGAGAAAAATCCCTGGACTTCCACCCTCTGAGAAAAACAGGCTGATCTCCAGCTTAAGGTATTTGCATTACTACTTAAACGAAGGGCTTGTCGTGGAAGGGTCAGCTCATGGCACCTCAAAGGAAAATAACAAGAGTTTCCTCAGTGTCATGAAAACATGTCCCATACCAGGATGATGGGAGGATTAAAAGACTGTGTCCAACTGCAAAAATGAGCTGGGTTTGACAGCAGGGTGACATTGTCAGACCCCTTTCCCCACAGGCAAACGCTTGAGTCTGGCTGCAGAGGTGGAAGGCAGCACAAAACATCTTAGTCCAGCACCTATTCTGCAAAGAGTGTGCTTAGCTTTGAACCCATGCGGAAGTCCCCTGGAAGTCAGCAGAACTTAAGCACTTTCCAAGGAGGGGTGCCCTGTGATAAATCTGCCAGGCGCCTTGCGCATGTCAGACTCTCAGGGTCCTGTCGAGCTCAGCAGGGCAATTTATTGGGTGGGGAGAGACAGCCAAGCCTGACCTGTGCTCAAAGGAGAATAATTTTTGCAGTGTGGACGCAGCCAAGGACACTTGGATATGCAGAATTCATGAGCTTTTCAGTGCACACAGCACCACCCAGCAGACACAAGCTATTTTGTTTTTCTCGTCAGCTGTCATTCAGAAGTGAAACCCAAAGCAGCGAAAAACCATCAGCAGCATTTCATTCCTTGTACGTTTCAGCCTCTTGTATGTGTCTGCCCCCTACTGTTAATAAATGTAAGAAACTGCTAAGGATTAAAAGCACCAGTAAAACCTCATACATGATAATAGTGTAGCAAACTACTCTCTGTCAGAGATGCTTGCAGAGATACCAAGTACACACTGCTTTACTTAAAAAACAAACAAAAACATTTCTATGCAGTGAAATATTTGTTACTCTGAGATTTGAAATCATTTGATACTTGCTTATTATAAAACAGTTGCATTTGGGGTAAATGGGTAAATACAAAAAAGGCACTGCCGCTTTATTACTAAATATTTGACTTCACAGCCTTATGCATGCAACTGGTTTTCATAAATAAATTTATTTGACTTTAGGATTTGATTTTTAAATTGACCTCTACACCTGCACTCAATACAGGCCTCAAAACAAAGCGGGGAAGGACTTCCAAAATTTAACTGAAGCCACTTTTTAATTAAAACAAATAAAACCAGCAAAAAACACATCAAAGTCTATCATTAACCTATACAATGGAAAATAAGCTTAAAAAAAGAAAAGAAAAATTGAATTATGTGGTGGTTAATAACAGACATTATTATCATGGTTACCAGCCATAGGACGTTAATAAGTAATATATCCAAAATAATATATCTAATAATCAGATAACCTCTGTTTCTGTATTCAGCAAAGGAATAAATAGAATTTCAGATTTGTAAATACTTTGTCTTCCTTTCAAAAGATGCTAAGGTGATTGTGTTCACAAGTCATTTTCTGATGCTGCACATTGTATATAGCTATGAATGCTCAAGATGCAGCTCAGATTTCCTATACAATTTGTGTAACACTGCAGTTCATTATTCTCTTCAGTTATGTTGTTTTAAGCTCCTAACACATTCCAAAGTCCCCTCCTTTCATCTTCCTTTGTTTCTCCACCAAATCATGCTCAGTTACATTGTATCATGCATTCTGGTAAACAGGAAACCAAGAAATATCAACTTTATGTCCATCAGCATGAAAAACTGCATTTTGGCACTTTTGTTTTTATAAAGTTAAGTAAAAATGCTGCATCTAAATTGGATTTACAAACCCTATTGTACATGTAAGAACACCTCTTGGAAGCTGCAGTTTAGCCCTTATTCCCCCCTTTTAAAATAGTCACGTTGAAGGTTTGGCACTGAAAAGATTTGCTTCTTTTAGCAATTCCATAGCTACTTTCAGAGAATGTCAACTACCCAACCAACAGTAACTGGCAGAACTGATTTTTGAAGTATTGTATAGATTCCCATAGCCATGGCATGCACCAAGATTACTTTTCTTTATATAATAAAGAAAAACTGCATGCACCAAATCATTTCTTACTTACACCCATGAAAATCTGGAGTAACTCCACAAAAGCCAATGGAGATGCACTGGGGTAACCTGTTTTGTAAGTTAAACAAAACAAAAACCAGGCCCTCTGAATGTAAAACAAGCAAGGGGGATTCAGTAACATGTTACTAAAATATCAGAGGAAGATTCTGTTCTCCTTTGGGTGTAAATCTGCAGTTAACCCACTGAATTCAATGGAAAAACTATGGCGAGAGGCTGGTATGAAGGAGACTTGAGTCTGGCCCCCCACTCTCAGTTTAAACACTTGCTTGATGAAAGTTATATCAAATTCACACATGAAATGAACTAGGGCCATGCTTAGCTCTCAGTTATAAAAACCGTGTTATAGCTACAGTTCTGGGATGACAGCAGCATAGAGATGTGCATCCAAACTACTGTCTCTTAAATCTTTATTCCTCCCACATGTTGATCTTCCTTCCCTTCCATGTAATGTCCAGTTTAGCCAGCTTATTACCCTATGGCCACATGCACGCTTGTTATTTGTTAGGCTCAAGAAAAAGGCGGCAGTGTTTGTGTGCCAATATAAACACTGAACAGAGCGTACTCACTATTTATACAGAGAGCAGCAGCCCAGCACTACTTATATTTTGCTGCTCTCCTGCATGGTCCCTTAGCATAGGAAGCTCATGCTTTCCCTTCAAAACCTTCTCCACCTCTTCACCTCCTCTCATCATCTCCCTGGGCAAGAAAGTCCAACCCCTCACCCCCTGTAATGTAGCTGCCACACTTGTAGCTAGTTCAGAAAATGATCAAGTCAGTTTGGGATGTAGTGGCAGGTCTGTAAAAGCTATGATGCAGCATCTTTTAGGTATTCACATACACACACGCGCGCACACACACAAACAAGAAACAATTAACTGATCGTGCCTGCTCTCCACGTCCAATCACACATATGCCCGCCCACTCCCCAACATCCCTCACTCCCTTCTCTGATGTCCTTTCTGTCCCAGCTGGTAAGATTAAACCCCAAGGCCTGCCCCTAGACGCATAGCTTGTCTGCTATGTAAAATGCAAACCTGCTGCTATTAACAGAAGTAAAACAACAACAAAAAAATCCTTTACAACAGGCATACGAGACAAAGGCCCACCTGACATTTTCACACACTTATGTACCCTTTATATCTGCTTTTATGTAAACAGCACACAAATTGAAATTTAGTTGTTTTCCATTTCGTTGACAGGACGTTTGGTTGTTGGTGGTCTGACAGCACTGAAGCTCCAGCAGATGATATTTCAGCTCCAGTGAAATTTAAGAGTTGTAAACTCTGAACAATAAGTTATCCCCTTGGTTTTTGGTCACACGTGTGGTATTGGTTAATTTCTGCATTCAGAAACAGGGGTTGCCTTTGGTGCTCTCCATCCTCAGCCGGAGATGAACACCTCATTTGCCACCACACTGCTCCCCCTCCCCCCATGCTTTTCCTCTAGAGAGGATGTCATCATGGACCAAACAAAGTCCAATTCTAATGATATGTTCACAAGGACAATCTACACATTCACAAAATTAAAACGGGAGCGCGAGAGACAGACAGACAGACAGACAGAGAGAACGCAAAATCTCTTTGAGAATCCCGTGCAAGTCTGGAGACGGGTCCACTGGACCTGCAGCAGCCATTCTCACGGCCAGCGCTGTCACCGTTACACATTCATCTTCTATATTGTAGAGGTTCTGTCAACGCCGTCTGAAAGATGCAAGCCATAATTAGGGGGACATTGCTTCACACTGCCTGGCCTCAGTACTGCCACGATGGGCATGTTGCAATTTGAATCAACACAGCAGACTGGCCTGGATCAAATCATAAATCAAAATGTCAGGGAAATTCAAAACCAGTGGTTTATGTCCACCTAGCTGCCCTCCCTATCTGTGTGCTAGTCAGCAGGGCTCTGATACACTCCCTTGAGTTGTGAATATAATGTCCATATTGGTACGCAGGAAAAGCTCAAATGTACCTTTGCAATCTGCTCTGAGGCTATGTCTACACTGCAGAGTTTTTGCGCAAAAACTTGCGAAGCATCCACACCACACACACATTTTTGCGCAAGAAAATGTACAGTGAATCGACAGACCAGAGGGGGTTTTGCGGTGTAGGTATTCCCCTTTCTACGAGGAATAACTCCTTTTGGCGCAAGCGCTCTTATGCAAAAAGGTGCGTGTGGACAGGAAACAGGGTTTTTTTGCACAAAAACAGCCTACTGGAAGATGCACAGGTGCCCTGGTGGCCATTCTGTTCATGGCAATCACAGCTTTCTTGCAAGAGAGCATCCACGCAGTCTGGATGCTCTCTAGTGCAAAAGCACATCGCTTTTCCGATGCGCTTTTGCAGTGTGGACGCGCTCTTGCACAAGAAGCCTGCAGTGTAGATGTAGCCCAAGTGAGGGAGCTGCGTAGTGCTGCTGTTCCGGGAGCAGCCCAAGGAATGCAGTGTCACTCCCAATGCATGCCCTGGTCCTGTGCTCCAGGAAGGGAGGAAGCACAATTTGCCCATTTCTTGTTCCTGTTTGCTCAGAGGAAACTGCTTGCTTGGCGGCTTTCCCCACTGCTCCCATTGGCTGGAATCATGGCCAATGGGAGCAGCAGGGGTGGTGGTGCCTGGGAGTGGAAAGAGGCATGGAGCCAAATAAATGCTCCTGCCGAGACCCTGCACCTTCAGCCTGCTCTAGCATCCTACCTCCCACCCAGACCCCCCTCGGCCTGTTCTAGCACCCTACCTCCCACCCAGATCCTGCACCCCTACTCCCTCCTGTTTGCCACTTTCCACCCCTACCCTCTGTTTTTTCAAATGCTCCAGTACTAAGGCAAGCAAGTGAAAGGAACAATAAGACGGGGAGGCAAGAAATACCACAGAGGCAGCATTAATGCCACGCTTGAGGAAAGGCCCTGTGAGGGGCTGAGCGCGATCAGCTCCATCTTATCTCAGTGGGGCTCCTTGAACAATTCACAGGGGCCAGGACCGAGGCGTCTGGGGATAAATTCTCCTCAGTTAATTTCTGGCCTCCTCTCTTCCTCAGGGTTCCTGACAGCCTCCGGGTAACGTGTGGTTCCCAGCTCTTCTCAAGCAAGGCCCTGTCCCTGCACGGCTCAGAAGTCGGGGGAGTTGGGAATTTGGGGGTGGGGAATGCGAGAGTTTGATCCGAAAACTCCTCAGGGAGGTGTGATGTCTCAGCAAGGCCTTAATGAGCCAACTGACCAGTCAGAAAGCGCTGAGAGGTATGCGTGGGCTTAGCGCGCCTGCTCCCTCCAATGAAATCCACGGGGCCTGGGACACTCCACGCACAGCTCTCTGCAAGGGGATGAAGCACGGAAAGAAAGAACGACAATGAAAAGCCGTGCTGAGGCTTCATGCTGCGGAAGGGTTTTTAACCAGACATGAGTTATGACAAACGCATTGGGGGAGGGAGGGGGAGGGACATGCCGTACTTGAACAGCTATTTGTTGACACGGCTCCTCTGTGCTCCGCCATGCACAGACGTGTGAACGCATTAGGACGGTTTTCAGGAACACAACCACAGGCTTTGGGCGAGGGAACATTTCCATGGGAGATAAATATATAACATTTCCAACCCCACCTGGAATTAGGGACCTAGATGCCAAAGATGGGCATGAACGGAAACATCAGATCAACCTGCTTTTGCGACCCACCCCCTTCTAAGCTGGGTGCAGCGTGGATCCAAATTCAGCGGCTGGCTCATCTTTTGAATGGGCCGAGCCCAAACCTGGATGCAAATTAGGGAGGTTAGGATTTAAACGCAGAGCTGCTGGAACCTGCAGGACTGAGCCAGACTGCCTGCACACCGGCTCCCAAAATACTTTAAATGCAGAGTCACGGGGGGAGGGTTTGCGGGCTGCCGCTTCTCGGTTAACCGTTTAACGGGCTACGCCGCTACGTCCCTAAGGCGCTGGGAAGTTCAGGTCCAGGTTACAGCATTGTTCTAGCTCCTCCCTAGCACAGGCACAGAGGGATATCAGGCTCGGATGTGCTCCTGTTCTGGGAGGAGAACATGAAGGGTTGGCCGCGGGGCGGCTCCTGCTGCAATACTGTGCCTCATGCTGCCTTGAGTGTCAGAGCTGACACGCGAGTGATGCAAAGCGACTGAGAACGATGCCTTGGAGAGCCCGCAGGGAGACCCCAGGCCCACTCAGAGCAGGGAATCAGGCTGGTGCTGCAAACGTTAGCGGCAATCATCCCAGAAAAGCAGCAGCTCCCCTTCCAACCTCGCCCCGGCATCATCCCACATAATGCAGCCCATTTAGCGCATGAGCTAGACCGAGGAAATACCTAGGAGGGCTGCCGGAATGAGCTGACTTTTAAGAGACACGGCAGCTGCTGTCAAGACACTGGGCCGTTTTGTTACAAGTCTAGAGCTATGCATAAGGGCAGCAGCCCTGCATACCACAGCCCACCACATTACTGACTTTGGCAATGGCCAAGCGAGCTATTCCTAACCCGGGGCCCGACACACAGCGCTCCCTGTTCCCCTACGCAGCTCACCGTGGAAATCGCTTCAGACTGATGCAGCTGTTCACCTTGCTGCCATGTGAAGGCTCAAAACAAACAGGTTTGTTAAAGCTCCGCTTCGTTTGTGTGTGGAAAGCTATTTATAGCTTTGTGTGTGAAAAGCCGTTTTCGTGTAGCGAGGCCTGGGCCAAGGCCATGTGGGTCAAATCCCTAACTGGCCCAGCTCCGCCGGAGCATCTGCCCCTCTCCTCATGATAAACTGCCAGGCAGCAGCTGCCAACAGGGTGTCTCTGCCCTCCAGACCCTAGAATTGGCTCCCCGCCCCTCCATGCCAGTTTGACACAGGCCGTTGGTTTCTGGGCATGCTGCACAAACTCGTCATTTGATGGGCGGGTTTTCGGCAGCGATTGCTTGGCACATTCTCTGTCCGTGGGTAGTTTTTTGGCAGGCAGGTGGCTCACTGCTAACAGCACCTGGCACAATTGTGCAGGGAGGTTGCGTGTTTTTCCCCCTCTAAATCGAAATTAAGCGAGTCACAAAACCCGTGTGTGCTGCGAGACAGTCGGGTCTTCCTCTAGCTTTCGCCAGGCCCTGGCCCTGGCCCAGCTGAGACATCCACTTTTCTACTAAGCTGTTGGTTCTGTGAGTGAGCCCATTGGTCTATTTTGTCCGTCAGCTGTGTCCTCTGTGATATCTACACAGTGAGCCGGGGGGACGGGAACTCTTGTCTGTGTTCTGCCTGGTGTCTAGCACAAAGGAGCCTTGATCCTGGAGGCATTGCCATGACGACAGCAGGCGGAGTTTTCTCAGCAAAGATCACACACCTTGCCGTTGCCAGAACCCAGCCTGAGCCAGAACCGTTAAGGGCCGGTGGAAGATGCATCTATGTAGGATTCAGTTATCACAGTCGACTAGGTCAGGCAGCTAATGCAGCTCTCCCAGAAATCAACCCCTGGCATCCGATCCCTGAGGAGAATTCCCGTTTGCTGGGAAACTGACGGCAATTAGTCTGTAGGGCACCCAGGCTCTGTGGGGACCGGCGTTGTAGAAAGGCACAGGATAAAAGAACCGTGGCTGTATTTGGACTTACACTGGACTGAGTGGTGCTCGGCTGTAAAGGCCACATGGGAAGCCCAAGTTTCACTAACCCGTCCCTGCCGCCATGTTGGCAGGCTCTTGTGGTGATATAGAAACAGGGCACTGGAACGGGGGAGGCAAGGGGCCATGGCTCCCTCACTTTTTGCCATGGGCTCCGCCCCCTTCCCTTATTTTTCCCCTAAGGCCCTGCTCCTGACCAGGCTGGAAGCTGGAGACTGCCTGGGGTAAATGTGGCCTGGGGTGTGCGTGCAGCTGTGGGGAGCTGCGGACCCTTCACAACCCTGTGGAGGGCCCCTGGGGGCAAGGACATGGGCAGGGGGCTGCTCGTGGCTCCCCCCCCCCAGGAAATTGGAGGGTTGCAGGCTCTCTGGCCAGGCTCTGATTTCTCACTTGGCCAAAGGAAGAGAAGGGGCAGGGTGGGGTCTCATCCCCTCTCCCCCTTTTAGACAGAATCCATTGCCCCTGCCTAGATGCTCAATCCATACACAGGGCCGGCTCCTCAGCTGTGTAAATCAGCCTTGATCGATTCACTTCCATGCCAGTTTACGCCAGAGAACGGTCTGGCCTTTAGAGCCCAACCCTGCCTCCATTTTAGTCCCTATGCCAAAACTCCCACCGCGTGTCCCTAACAAATGCCCCGATTTTCCGGGGTGCTCAGCACAGTCAATTCCCAGTAACGTCAGTGGGAGTGGCAGGTGCTCAGAACGGTTTTCTCATATCGGCGCCTAAACAAGTCACCATTTAGGGCGGGGCAGCGTAACACCTCCTTTCTCCTCACCAGCCTGTTGGCGGTGGGCACCTCCCAGAGCGTGCCTTGACTGCTGGCTCTCTTCCATTCCTTTTATTGGCTCCTTTTTCAGTCGGGCATGCTGCCCAGACGCCCTGAAGGCAGAAGTGCCTCTCCCTGCTGCTCAGCAAGGTAATGGGGAGCATTGACAAATTCATCCTACCACAAGGTCTCCTCCTCTCCCAGTCAAGAGGACGGTAGCGGTGACAGACAGCCTCCAGGAGACGAGGAAAGAATTAAAAAAGGGGACTCCTCCTGGACGGTGTCAAAGACCCAGCGGCGCACCGCAGAAGCACACTCACCCCCCAGCGCATGTTCTGTCATACTCAGGCACAACGACTCCAGCCTATTGTTGATGTCAGGTTCTGTCACTGGTACCTGGAACTCTGCAAAGGAAGCAAAACGTGTTAGTCTGGCAGAAGCAGTCGCAACCCACCAAAAGGGTAAATACAATAGCTGGGCGGGTGGGGACCTGTTCTGCTTTGACAAATGCCCTGTGAATGCCTGAAAACCGGAGCGTTACTTTGCTTGTCCCTCTGACAAAAGCAATCGAACTTTCATTCCCAAATAGATGCTGGATGCGGGTGTTTTTATGCTCCTTTATAGGTGCAAACGTATTGACTTTCTTACACAGGCACTAGGGATGCAACAGAGTAACCGGGTAACGGATAAGCTGATGCTTATAGCTTACTGGCACTCGTTACATTCTTCATAGGCTGTTGGGAGCTGCGGCAGCCGCACGGGACCAGGAGTTCTGGCCCCGGCAGCCCTGAGGGACTAGGAGTCCCGGTGGCCCTGTGGGTCCAGGAGCCGTAGATGCTGCAGGCACCCTGGGAGTCCTGCAGGGCCGGGAGTTGTGGCAGACCCTGTGTGTGGGGGGAAGGAGCCGCAGTTAACAGTGTAACCGATAGAATTTCTATCAATTACACGGTTTATATTAAAAAAAATGTTTACATCCTTAACATTCCCACACTTGTGTAAAACTGTTCACCATCATTTTTTTTTTATTGTTGCACACAATCCCAGCTGTTAGCTAATGTCACCGATGAAGATTTACACATTTGCAGCTTGGGACGGTCTCTTTGTTACGTGTTCATACAGGCGCCAAGCACAGTGACCTCTATGTGCTACCCTAATGATGATAATTAATAATGATTAGAGGCTTGATTTCAGAGGAGCCACTGCAGGGCAAGGCAATGAATGATAGGAGGCAAGACTTTCGAAGGAAATACCCAGCACAATTATAGCAAAACACTCAAATCTATTCGTAATCCAGTAACTCGGTTTTACTCGTTTGAACTGAAACAACAGGGCTAACTCCACCCTTTACTTGAAGATTTAGGGCTACACAGACAGGTTAAAAGATTTTCCTTCCGTTAATTCCTCAAATACCTTTAAGAATCTGGGTCTTGGCCGATATACAATGGGGCGATAAACCAGGACCAGGATTTCAAACCTGCTAACTTCTAGCAAGGATTTTTTTTTTTTTTTTTTTTTTTTAAATGGGCAGACTTTTCTTTAGCAGCACTTTCACCATTAGAAACAACAGGTCTGAACCTCCGTTAGTGGAAATCAGGAGGATTTCAATGGAGCTCCACCAGAGATAAACTGGTGTAAGTGAAAGCTTTAAATGCTGTATGAGAAAGATGTTCAAGTGGTTTGAACCCCCCTCCCCCACAAAGAAAGGGGCTTTGCAAGGCCGACGAAGAAAGACAATAAAATGTCTCTGTAATGAAGGTGTGGCTCCAAAGTTGACTGTAAAGGCAGCCTGTTGAAGGAATTGTGAAATGCCAGAGCAGGGCAATACTGACAGAGCATCAGCATCCTCTAAGTGGCAGGTCTGCTAACTTCTGAACAGAATAGTTTGTGTGCAGTGCAGGGCCTCAGAGCTGTATGAATCAGAACTCCCGCATCCGATCATCTGTGAACCCCGCGCTCAGGCGTCAAAAGGCAGCGCTGAGGCACAGCCGTCGGAGGAGGTATTCTAGCTGATCCTCTTATCCCCAGGGCCCTAGAGTTCTGTGGACTGGGTCAGGAGTGACAGCGCAGGCCTTAAAGGGAACACTACAGGCAACTGCTGAGCTAGTTTCCCCTGGGGAAATACATGGCTTGAGCGTGGATTGTTTTGAGGTTAAGGCCCTGGAACAGGACTCTCGCGCACTGGGTTCATTTCCACAGATTCTCTGCATGACATGGAGCGAGTCATGTAGCTCCAGCGCCTCAAAGTTTCCTAACTTCTGCTGCACTCCATGGGAAGAGGTAGCCTACGTACCTCTGAGGATCAGTGGCCGGCTTCCCTGTGCCTCTTCTTTGTCTACCTTGCCTAGTTAGACTGGAAGTGCCTTGCGGCAGAGACTCTGCCTTAGCATGCACTTTGACAGACCCTAGCACAATGGGGCCTGATTTTAACTGCGACCTTCATGCGTTACTACAATGCAAATTAGGGATGTAAGCGACTAGTCGACTATCTGATAAGCAAATGCTTATTGGGTAGTCGAGTAGTGACTCGACCAGTCGCTTCCCGCCCCCCTTGCTGCCTGTATCAGAGAGAGGCAGCAAGGGGAACAGGAGCCAGTACTGGGGGGAACCAGCTTTAAGTTGGTTCCACCCAGCACCATCTCCGCGGGGGACAGGGGAGGCAGAGGCAAACCTGCTTGCGCCAGTTCCCACTGCAGGCGCTTCTGCTTTTGAAATGTACAAGAGCCCTGTGAGTCTCTTGTACATTTCAAAAGCAGAAGTGCCGCAGGGAGCGCGGGGCGACCAGGGACTCAAGCAGTCCCCACTTGTCCTGTGCTCTCTGTGGCACCTCCCACCCTTGTATGGGAGGCAGCAAGGGGGGGGACAGGAGCTGGTGCCGCGGGGAGCTGGCTTAAAAGCCAGTTCTCCCCAGCACCATCTCTGGGATGCCGCTTGTCCTCCGCTGCCTCTGTCAACTGGAGTATTGTGTCCAGTTCTGGCCACCGCATTTCAAGAAAGATGTGAAGAGATTGGAAAGAGTCCAGAGAAGAGCAACAAGAATGATGAAAGGTTTAGAGAACATGAGCTATGAGGGAAGACTGAAAGAATTGGGATTGTTTGGTTTGGAAAAGAGAAGACTGAGAGGGGACACGATAGCCGTTTTCAAGTACCTAAAAGGGTGTCACAAAGAGGAAGGAGAAAAATTGTTCTCCTTGGCCTCTGAGGATAGGACAAGAAGCAATGGGCTTAAACTGTAGCAAGGGAGGTTTAGGTTGGACATTAGGAAAATCTTCCAAACTATCAGGTTGGTTAAACACTGGAATAAGTTGCCTAGGGAGGTTGTGGAATCTCCATCTCTAGAGACATTTAAGAGCTGGGTAGACATCTATCAGGGATGATCTAGATGGTGCTTGGTCCTGCCGTGAGGGCAGGGGACTGGATTCGATGACCTCTTGAGGTCCCTTCCAGTTCTAGTGTTCTGTGACTGCAGCCTTCCCTGCATCTTGCACCTGCAGGGACTGGGTGTCACTGGCTCTAGCCAACTCCGCTGTCATGGCTCCGCTCCCTCACTTCTGTGACCATGTGGCTGCAGAGAGCTCCCTGCACTGTCAGTAGGAGCCATACAGCAGCAGGCTGGTCTCCCTGCAGTCGGGGGCATGTCCCCGTCCTTGCTGTCCGGGCTGGGGGGGACTCTGTTCTATTACTCGATCTTCTGCATTCTCCACACCCCTTCTTTGTGCCCCAGCATGAGATCCAAGGGGGACAAGGAAGGGGTGGGGAGCAGCTCAGATAATGGGGTTTTGGATAGAGAGTACATTGGAATTGATAATATTACTCATATTTATGCTCCAGAACAAAAGCGTTTTATGCCTAAAACAAAAGTCATTGATAATACTGCTTATGCCTGGGTGAGACGTACTTTGTGTCAGGATGACTGAATTTGCCATAGGGTCTGTAGAGACTGGGGCTTGATTTTGTGATGAACTTGAAAGCTGCATGTAGGGCAAAATGAGAAACGCCTCTTTGCCAGGGACAGGAGGGCTGTAAAGCTTGTCTGTACATATGACAGAAGTGAAACTAAAAATAAGCCCCATTGCTGGGGTTATTTGAAACCAGGCTGGACAAAGCCTCGGAGAACAGAAGGTGTAGGTCCCTTATGAGGGCTCTTTCTCCCTTCCTCTGACGCATCCTGTGTTACTGTGGAGATCTGGGCTGGTTCCCAAGAGATGACCGAGGCATGACCTAAGAGGTCTTCTCCAACTTTAACTTCTCTGATTCATATGCTCATAAATATAACCAGCAGGAGAGACACCCACCACACGGCTTAAAAGGAATGTGATCTTGACTTCAATGGATTGAGGATATCTAGCATTTTACAGGAGCAGTATCCAGATTATTTAGGCTTGCAAATTAGGTGACTGGAAATTAAGGACAGGCGGTGACCCCAACAGCTTTGAAGATGAATTAGGAGAACAGCCCACTAATTTATATGACCTGCTCTCCATCAGTTTGTATTAATCCCAGTTTAAAGATTCACAAGACAAAGATGCTGGTAGTATTGCTTTAAATCCCTCCTGGACAATCATCTATATGCATTCCTAGTTCAGGTGATAGTTTAGTCCCTAGTAGAAACTAGTTTGGGTGTTATTTTTAAATAATTCATAAATATAGACCCAATGTTCTGCCCTCAGATGTTTGTGCTCGGCTTGCAGAAGCTGAGGGAATATACTAGGCAAGAAATTGGCACCAAATTATTAATTATTATTATTATTACAGGTAGTCCCCGGGTTACGTACAAGATAGGGACTGTAGGTTTGTTCTTAAGTTGAATTTGTATGTAAGTCGGAACTGGTACATATTGTAGGGGAAACTCTAGCCAAACATTTCTCCAGAGCTCAGTTTTATTCTCCCACACCTCACTCCCCTCAGTCCTTTATTCTCAAGCTGAGGTGTCTGCTGAGAAAAGCCGCTCCGCGTCTCCCTGGTCTGCTGGGGAGGGCGCTAGCTTCGCGTCTCCCTGGTCTGCTGGGGGGAAGCAGCTAGTGCGGGGTTGCCTCACCCCGTTTGTAAGTAGGGATCCGATGTAAGTTGGATCCATGTAACCCGGGGACTGCCTGTATTAAATTTAGCATTTGTGGGATAGTTTTGGCTCGTTTTTTATGGCTTTATTCTTAATTTAAACAATCCCTTTAGATTCCTCTCCTCTGTCGGCCCCCCTCCCAGGGTAGGCCCCTCCTGCTGGATTCTCTGCAGGAGGGGTTTGAGTAGCAGAAAATAGGAATCCCACAGATCCATGAGAAAGGAAACGGAGGCTGAATGCTACAAAGCCAGCAGAGTTAGATCAGCTGTGTTTTCACCCCATGGAGTACTTTACTTGAACAAACAGACCAGCTTTGTTTTGACTGAACAGACGTCAACATTAAATGTATCTCATCAAGTTTATATTACTGAGATGTAAGAAATAAGGCTGCCTAGATGTTATTGTGGCTCTAATATTCAGACCAAGGAGAGAGTCAGGACTCCTGCGTTGCAATTTTAGCTTTGCCACCAACTTGTGATATGACTTTAAGGCAACTCAGTTAATTTCTGTGTTCAGTCTCCCCTGTAAGTAAGGGGATTGTTGTGGAAATTAACTCGCTAGTGTTTTGAGAAAAGTGTTGAATAAATGCAAAATATTAATAATAATACAGGTTGAACCTCTCTAGTCTGGCACAGTCTCGTCCGGTAACATCCATGGTATGGTATGATTTTAGTTAGCAAGCTGTCCACTTATCCTGGGTGTGGCTAAGTTTCCCGCAGTCCCATAAAGTTTGTTTACAGCCACCAGTCCTGGCTCTCAGTATTCTGTGCTGTTTAGCCCTAATTTATCTCTAGGGCTGTGTCTAGACTGGCAAGTTCTTCCGCAAAATCATGTGATTTTGCGGAAAAACTTGCCACCTGTCTACATTGGCCACTTGAATTTCTGCAAGAACATTGACAATCTCATGTAAGATTGTCAGTGTTCTTGCGGAAATACTGTGCTGCTCCCATTCGGGCAAAAGCCCTCTTGCACAAATCATTTGCGCAAGAGGGCCAGTGTAAACAGCACAGTACTGTTTTCCACAAAAA